ATAGAAAATGCCTTCATGCATTTTAACCGAGATTTTGCACTCATACAATAAATATTATTGAAAACAACCAATATTCATAAAAAATCCAATGCTAAAAATATGAATATGAATTACAGTTTTAAATGTTTACATGCCAATATATCATAAGAGATAATCAAAATTTAAAAAATTGGATTGGTTATTATTTTAGTAAAACTATGAACAATATGTTAATATTTTTAATAACTAGAGCTGTCTATCTAAAAAACATGTTATTTTTCGGATATACACACAATTAGGAGAGTAAGATATGTCAACAAATAATAATACCAAGAATCTGAATTTAAAATAAAATGCTTGCATCAGAGTAAAACTTTTGATTTTAAAAGAATATATTCACATGTTTATACATATTTGCTAATTTTTAAAATTATGAATATTCGATCATTGAGATAATTTATTTTTATTTCTTTAGTCAATTGAATTGGTAGTCTCCAATGCCAGTACAATTTGATAATGAAATCTGGAGATTTTATTAATTTTACATTTTATTGTAGTACAAATAATATTTTATATTTTGTTACCCTGTAAATTAGCACAGCATATTAGCTTTCGGCTAAATAACCTAATATTTTTTATTTAAAAATATCACATGTGTTAAACAATATTTTATTTATATTATTAATTTGTTACATTATTACATTTTTGTTTGGTATAAAAGTGCATATTTTGATGTTAAAAAATATATTCATTTTAAAGCATATTTTTGTGTATTTTTCTAATATTTTTTAGAGAATATAAGCATCATCATAATTTTGCTATTTTAAAATAGTAAAAGTCCACTAGTAACCATAAAAAAATACATTTTTCATATGTATAATTATAATTTTAATTGTTAAAAAATAAATACAGCAATAAGATAAGAAAAAAAATGTTTGATAGAGTTGTAAAATTACCTCAAAAACAGTAAAATTATAAAATTGGTCCAACAATTTTCATATAAAATAATAATAAAATATCTTTTGTACTTACAATACACTTATGCACCCAATACTTGAATTCTTTACTTCGGTTACAAAGTCCCAATTTTAGGATACAATATCTTAAGAAGTTCTACCATTCTAAACAAAATATTTTTGGTGATTAAATAAAGTGTATGCTTAATCCATATGGCCTAGAATGCAGGTTTTATACCTCAATAATATTAACCTAACAGAAAATGAATCATTTTATTTGTTTCATTTTAATTTTGTTGCTAGTATATGAAATTATAATGTATATGCTAATACTGAAAGAATGTCATTTTCAGATACATAGTGGTCGGAGGAGAAGATGATTTAGTTACAGTCTACAGTATTTCTGAGCATAGGGTCATTGCCCGTGGTCAAGGACACCATAGTTGGGTTAGTGTGGTGGCATTTGATCCATATACGAGTACACCACCGTCTATGGAACCATGTTTACCTGGATACTACAGACTAGGTTCTGTAGGTCATGACACTCAAATGTGTTTATGGGACATAACTGACGATATATTACATCATGTTACATTAGTGTCACCACTTCCTGTGACATCTAAACAAAACGGTGTTATAAATAATACGAAACACAATGTCAATGCTAATAATGTACAAAAACAAACTCAAGACCCAATGAGATTGATTGGTACTACTGCGTGTCCACGTTTTGATCAGTGTCCACGACTCGAACCATTAATTTGTAAAAAAATTGCTCATGATCGACTGACAGCTCTAATTTTTCGTGAAGATTGCTTTGTAGCTGCTTGTCAAAATGGATATGTTTACACTTGGGCTCGTCCTGGGACAATTGTAAGTGTTTAACAAGTACAATTTGTTTAAATTTTAAAATTAAGACCTAATATTTTCTAAAAAAATTTTTCAGACAAGCCTCAATGCACATTTGGTTTCAGATCCAAACTCTATCATGTCATCATTAGATCTACCTTCATTGAATTCTACATCTGCAGTTTAATGAATAATTTACTACAAATTATACGATACACGTTAATTCAAATTATGATAATTTTTTAATGTTTTGTGTTATGTAACCACAAAAAGTGAAAAATTGACAAGCAAAAGGTGATAATTAAAAAAAAAATAACAATTATAGTTCAAATGAATAACTTATTATTATCGTACATAGAATAGTAATAACATTTTAAAATAAAAAATTGAATTAAAACAAAAACAAATAGGCTGTGATCATTTATTAATATTGTCAGCTAATCTAATTAAAAATCTTCTTATATCTTTAATGGTTATTGTAAAATATGACCGAAATATTTTATAAATACCATAGGTATATTTTATTTTGTATGTTTTTCTTTGATCAGATCTGTTTAATGCTTGTAATCAGGACTATTGTTGTCTCGTGTTCAAATATATTGTGTTCAGTCTTATTTTCTTCCTTCAAATTGTATGTGGATAATATTTTTCATACTTAAAAGGTTTTATTATGTACCTCAATCAAATATACAATAGAACTATTTTGATAACAAAAGCACAGTTACTGAGTTGTTAAATTGTTCATTAATCATTATTCAAAGACTGTATCGCCCAAGAAACTATGTAAGCAAAAAATGTAAAAACATGATAATTACTTAAACTGACAAATTTCACAATATTTTACATTTTTATTATTAAAAAACATAATTACATTTAAATAAGTAAAATGAAAAAATAGGAAATGGATATAATTTTATTTAATTAAAATACATTTATCATTATCATTGTACATAAATATTATTTGTACTAGACAATTTAGACTGATCCTAAATAAAACATGCTAAAATGTATATATATAAGTATCTTTATTAGTTTTATAGTATAAGATCATTTTGATTGACTGGTAGGTTTATTATACATAAATGTATCTGTACAAAATATTTTATAAAACAAGTTTTCATTTTATAATAGTTTAATATTATTTATACCATTATTAAATCCAATTTGAATTTATTTTCATACCACCTTATTGACTGAGTTATATTTGTTTTTCATATTATATTTCATTACTGTTACTTTTAATACAATGTCAATGTTTGTATTTAAGGAAAGACATAAATTAAAAAACAATCATAATTAGAAATCGGTAAACATGCCAAAATGGTTGGTTAGACAACTTAAATCTTGTAATCTCTAAAACTACCACTTAATACTGCTTTTTTAATGTTAGAAACGGTTTCTATTGAATTTTATTTTTTATTGTACTTAAACAGAAAATATTGACACATTCCACAATATTATTATTTTTTAATAATTTCTATGTGTGCTTAGCTAGTCAAAATTCCACTGTGAACGGTTGTACCTTTTTCTTTTTTTGATATATTTACTATTACAAGGGTAATTTTGGTCTTTATCGTATATTTTAATTGATTATTATTGTCCATTATATTTTTTTTTTTTTTTTAAATATGAAATAATACTATACTAATCATTTTTGTATACTTTTATTTTAATTTAATTTTAGTTAAATAATTATTTCAAAGTATGTAATCGTTCTAATTTGTTGGATAATTTTATGGCCAATATATATTTTATATTATAGTATTAAATTATTCACTCATTGCGTTCATTAAAAAAAATATTTAGTTGTTATATACATATATAAGTTACTTTTATGTGTATGAGAAAAATTATTTTTTTTAACTACCTGCCTTATTTTAGTGATTTTAAATCAAAATTCTTTACCTTTTTCATAATAAAACTGTAACAATATTTAGAACCTATTAAGTAGTATCTTGTTACAAATAGATTACATTATATTTGGTTATTAATAAACATAAATATAATGTAACCTAAAATAAACTATATTAATTATTTTATATTTAATTATTATTTTTAATTTTAAAAATTATGATATTGTAAATTTTAAATTCAACTAAAATAAATTATTATTTTTTATATAATATATAAAAAATAAGACTTCTTTAATTTTAAATGGATTATTCGAAAGCAATTGGAATATTATCAATATATCAAATATTCTTTTGAAATGTAATATTACGATGTAGTTGATATGTTATTTTATTATGTATTATTGGTTTAAAGTTATTATGTGTCTTTTTATATTATTAAAAACATTTAAAAATGAAAACACAATCATACAGAAATGTTTTGTTAATTATTTTTATACTATTGTTGGTATATGATGTGCTGTGCGTATCAAAGATATTCATATCGACGAATGACTTAGTTACTTTTTTTAGTGAAATGAAATGTGTAACTTCTTAACCTTGAATCGATATTATATTATGTATTATTTACCTTGTGAACAACTTAGGAAATTCTGAAGTTGTTTTCGAGGAAATTTAAATTGTTTTATTTTGGATTTGGAATTTTTGAGATAATAAAAAGTTGAAAACTTTGGATTCCGGTTTATCAGTTAGTATTTGCAAAAAAATGATGAAATCTGAACATATGTTTTTTGTTTCAGCAGTTGAAGCTCTTTTAAGTTAGATCCAATTCTCCCATTGTGATGCCATAAGTTTACATAAGCAAACGAACCAAAAGTCTATGCTAATGTAAGCGTTATAATATTAAATTCACAAATCAATTAAAGTGCCTATGAGCTGAAATAATTGTATGTCTCAATTCGAGTTCTGTTTTCAAAGCCTAGACAATTTTTCTCCCAGCGCTGTGGCATCGTCTCTGGTGTATTTAATTGTTTTTAACAATCGAGCAGAGTATAATAGCAAGTAGCTACCCGTTAGATTAGGTTAGTTCCACTGAGTAACTGTAGTTCTATGTACACGTGTTCGATCGATATACAAGCACAAGCCCATCAAACGGGCTTTCAATATTGTACCTGCTTTTGGGTAGGTAGCAAATGGTTTTTTGTTTTTTTATCGGATTTCGCACAAATCGTAAGGCACTCGTTTGAAAAGGCTTACAACTGGTCTTGATTCCCGCCTTGTAGGTGGTAGTAATGTCTTTGGGATGAATCGACATTCGGCCGTTCGGTGTATTCTTATCAAATTCGGTTATCAATAAGAGTCTCGTCATCAGACGAAAGCATGAAACAACAATTCACTCGTTCGCCACAAATCCGTTCGCGATCGAATCGTCGAGATCGGCGTATTTTTTTGCACGATTATTATTAACAATATTATTTATACTTCTGGAAGCATGTTTATTGCTTGATAGCGTGTACTCACTACTTACCGACGTCACATACTCACGGTTGTGTAACACATTCTGTCAGAAATATGGTGCTCCTCGAAAAGAATAAAGTAAGTGTTTTTCAAATTTTTTTTGTACTGCGTCGAGAAACCGTGCTTAAAATTCGTCTTCTGCTTGACAAAAAAAAATCTCCGACGATCCGCTACAAAGTCATTTTGTTAACTAAAATTATCCAAAATAATCTCCCCGAAACGTAACCGACCTACACCTTTTAGTGAGTCCATAATCGACCTTTTAGTGACGATTTCTGTGATTATCTGAAATGCCATCATTTGTTTCTTTGTTGTAAATTGTTCATGAGCTCACCCGTTCACTAGTGTTATTATATTAGGCGGTAGTCTTTCCACCTCGACATTAATTGATGTCTCCATCACACATGTCACAGCAAAATTATATTTTGTAGTTAAATTGTACAAATTAGGTACGGTTGAAGCATGGTTTGTTACCCGGTTGACCAAGAATGTTTCAATCAAGCGTCTTGTATTCATTTAAATTATTGTAACTGAAGAATGGATTGTTGCTATTTTTAACATCCTATACATGCAATCAATGAGTGTCCATCATTACTTGATTGATTAAATATCAAAATTGTATACTGTATATTTTTGTGTATTTCAATGTTAGTGCATGGTCTGCATATTTTAACAAAATAACTTTGAAATAAACACCTAAGGGATCAAAAAGGTGTTGAGCAAAAACAAAAAAAAATTATATTTATGTTTACATATCAAATATTTTACGTTTCACAGAATTAATTTTGTCTACTTACTAAAATGTTATTAATTCGATACTCCATATTATTAATCAATAACTAACACTTCAAAATTAAAATTAAATATAATAATTGAAACTTTACTATGCATGTTTTAATTTTTTTTCTTGCATATTTTGACTTTTTTAGTGCATGTTTACATGCATATTGTACAGTTTAAATTTCTTATGAATCCAGTCTTTAGTTATAACTAATTGAAGTTGACAATAAATTTATGCTAATAGATATTTTGTTCGTAGAAAAATTCCTATTTAGACTATGCTATTAACACTTTGGAATATTTGTTAAACTCTACTAATTTGTAAAGGTGTTTTTACTACTTTTAATACTATAAGTGGATAGATACTTGCGCAAATGTTTTGCCGGCAATCTTTTTAAGTACTATTATTTTATTTTATTAAACATTTTGCGGTACGTACATTTAATAATGTATCTGATATTTACTTGCATTCACACCGTATATACTCTATATAGGTAATAGATTCTTTGTTGTAGGTACCTAAAAAGGTAGTAAAAAGTATTCATGATTAACAACGATTGACTAAAAGTCAAACATAATAATTTAGTAGGTATATTGATTTTGATTAATTTATCAGAAACTATCTTTACTGTTGACGTTTAAGTGTAATATTGTATTTGTTACTTAAATTAATTAACTCTTCAATTTTTTATGAACCCATAATTATTTCATAATTACAAGTTATAGTTTTGTAACTTTTGGTGGTATTTAATATACATTATACTTATTACTTACAGATATAACATATTAGCAATGAAAACATTATGATTAGAATTAGTTTTAGTAAAATGTTATGTTTTAAAGTTCTAATTAATTATTTTTGTGGAAAAATATAATTATATTATAATTTATAGTTGTAGCATAGATCTTATACTATTAGACAAAAACTGTGTTTAACAACGAAAGAGCCCCCTTTGTTGTTACGCTTTCCACACACTCATTGTTTTTCTAGTAGTATTAAGTCAATAAATTGTAGCTACTTCATAGTAATCTATTTTGGTTGTAACTACGGGGATCTAGACATGAATGGTATTACATTTTTTTTTTTTGTAGAATTTATACATTTGTACAAATGTATAATACATTACTATTAAGTATTTATCATATTTATTATCATAATTATAAATTCATTAATCTATGTGTCACAACTTGTAGTTTATTGAATAAGTAAATAGACAAATGCATTAATGATTTTTATTAATTTGAATTTCAAATGAATGAACAAACCACAACCATCGCCTGGTTTGTTGGTCACTACTTATAACTCAACACAATAGGCTCTATATTTTTACTCTACTAGGAAAGTCCATAAATCATAAATGTTGTTGTTAATAACTAATAAGTAACAATGGCAACAAAAACCTTACAAAAAATCGGTCAGGAACATTATATTGTGTATCCAGCTTATAAACATATTTATGCTAAAAACAAATTATTAAATAAAAATCATTTAAATGAATAGAAGAAGTTTAGAATTATGTTTTATTCATATCTAACTACGCTCAGTACATTCAAACTAAAATTTAAAAAAAAATTGTTTTGTATGGTAGCTGTAAAATATATATTATTAAATTTGATTGATAGTAGGTATCATTAACGAAATGTGTTCTTTGTTTAACAGTTTTTGGAAGAGCTAAACATTTTGTTTAATACATCTCAGTCATCTGGATCAGTGAGAATAACAATGAAATTATGTAAGCCGCTCATTATTTCATAATACAGTGTAATCTCTATTTACAGATAGTCAATATGTAATTCAAAATTTTAATAGAGACCTTAAGGTTTATATAGAATGGTGTAATCTATATAGAGTATAACAGTATAAGTTTTGTTGAAGAATTTAGTTCAAAAATATTTTCCAGAGAATGGTTATTTATAAATTGAGGTTTCACTGTGTCTAAATGTATGTTTTTGAATATAAAAATTTGACTTGTTTGCATATCTAGTGCTACTGAATAAAAAAGACCCAAAGGAACAAAAACTTAAAATTGAAGTACCCAAGGAAAAAGTATGTTTAATCAGGGCTACATTCAAAAACAAAAAATTGAGCACCAGAGTAAGTGTTGATCTTGTTGTAAAATTGAATATAGGTCGTTAAATCAAAACTGTAATACCATTTCTGTGTATAGATAACTGCCGATGAAGTGAGTTCATTTCAAGAAGAGTATTGTGCATTGTTGAAAAATTCGTTAAGTAGTTTGAAAAAAACTAAAAAGTTAAAGAAAAAAGTCATGTCTTAAAAGTGTACAACATTGTTTGTAATGTTTCAACTATTTTTTCAAACATATAATGTATTTATGACTTGTACACAGTTAATGTATTTTTTATTAAAGTAAGATTTTACAATATACATTTTTTTTATTTTAATCAAAAATTTAAAAATTTAAATTTGTATGTAATAACCAAGGCTGAGCATTCACATGTTAAAAAGTTAAAGTTAAGTTACTTATTGAGTTACTTTTATTTTCATAAGTGACTTCTAACTTACCTAGTTCATTTATTTTAAAGTAGTTAATTTTTTTATTTTTCTTGATGTAAATACTATAGATTTTAAATTATTTTGATTTTTATATATATCAAAATATTGATTAATCGCTTTAAAAATCAAATACTATTTATGTTGTTACTAATTTGATTCTTTTTCTAAATATGTTCCAAATTGAAAACTGTTGCAAGTGTTTTACATTATTTCTGTATTTGAGATTTCAATAAGAATTAAAATTGTATAATAAGTGCAACTAGCTACCTATACAATTTATGAAACGGCTTACGAGTAAATAACTTGTAAGTACCTACTGTAATTAAAACAATTACATACATTTAAAAAAAAATAGTTAGACCTATATTATGTTATTGTTGAGCTTTAATGAAAAGGTATGATGATTAATTTTACATGAAAAAAAGTAACTTATTTTTAACTAAGTAAATTTTTAGCTAACTTTTAACGAGTTGTTTAAAAAAGAAAATTAGCTTTTAACTTAAAACTTTACTTAACTAGTTAAAAAAATTAGTTAACTTGCCCAGCCTTGGTAATAACTACTAATTGGTTACAAGGCTTTTAAGAAAAAATATTATGCCTAAGTATTTACGATTTTATCAGTAAGTGCAATCTTAGAATATTAATCAAAAATATTATAGTAGAGTTGACAATACTGTTAATTATCTAAAAGATTGAAGGTAGTAGGTAAGTAAATCTTATAGTTAGACAAATAACATATATTAGTGGCAATGTGATATTGAGTTTACAATGAGTAAACATGTTTTTCAATGGAAAATATTCTAGGCAATAAAAATGTCTAGACGTTGATGTTTCCATTTTTAATCAAAATGATAAAAAATCTGCTCTTTAGTCAGACAGGTCACGGTAACTTATATATTATAAATGCTTAAATTGTAGCAAGCAATGACTTTTATTTAGAGTTAATCTTTGATGAGGCAAAGTATAAAAAATACTTTTTATCTACTGTCTCCAAAAGTATAGAAGGGGAGAAGGTGAGACCATAATAAATTGTTTATTTGTTGTTATTTCATGTGCATGTTTAAAATTAATATTATTTTTTTTGAAAACCAATATCCAACAAAGTAAACACATTTAGAAGTACAATTTATTATTTAATGTTTGACAAAAATATACTCATTGTATGTATTATGTACATTGCTACAAAAATATGTTTTTTCAATGTAATGAAAGGCTTGTATTTTTTTTAACTGGATAATTTCAATACATATTTTTCAAATATGATTAATTATTTTTTTTTATTAAAAATACATAAATATGAGTGATAAGTCAGAAAAGTAGAACTATTTATTATTTTTTGTACTGCAATTCAGATTTCAAATTGATTGAAACAAACATTTTAAAGATTGTCCACTATCGGTAAATATCTCTGAAATAAATACATCACACCTAATTGTAAATTGGTTAAATATTTATAAATAATAACCGTCTACCGATGAACATTAGAATAAATTACCACATGAGTGGTGTTGTATTTTTGTGTAGGCATTTTTTTTGCTACAGGTAGTAGGCACCTCATATTTTTTGCATAAATACTAAGTGGGTACCATAGGCATTGTATGATCCATCGGATCTGTCAGTGCGCACTCAAGAGTCCAAGACCCATACCGGCTACCGTAGATTCTCATTCGATAATTCGAAATTTTCGTGATCTCGAAATCGATCGAAAAAAAATTTGAAATCCTCTTGAAGCAATCACCATATCGTCCGTTGCAGTAACGCTCGATGGCGTATTGTTTCGAACTTTTTTTCCGTTCTTCTTGAGTTTCGACGTACGTGCAACGAGAGTATAGCCGCATTGCCCGTATTATTTATAGGTACCCACTTAACCATCAGGTATCATCATGGGCGCCCATTGGGAGGTGCAGGACAGGGCACTTGCCCCCCCCCCTGGAAAAAAATATTATGAACTTGTAGCTCAATAAACATTACCACAATATTACCTTATTACCGAAATTTTTTATTTTGACCCCCCAATTTTAACGATGAAAAATAAAAACATACAACTCTACGGTCATGAAATTGGAAAACATAAAATATAAATATTACCANATGTAGCGCAAGTGACTATAAATTAATTATAATAATAAAAAAAAAAATTCAAAATATTAATGATAAAAGTTATTGCATTAGTCGGTTCTTTCTGTTACGCCCTGTTTTTATAATATATACGTATAAACAGATACAATATTATTATGTAGGTCAGAGGCTCCCAATCTTTTTAGGGCGGCGACCTAAATTTATCCCCGAAAACCTATGGTGACCGACATATGGTTCATTTACATTTCTCCTCGGTCGTACCAAAAATACCTCTATCGTGCAATAATCGTAAAATACACGACGAACTATTATAAACAATCGTTTTAATGCCCGTCGATGATTTTTGGGATTTACAGTACACGCTTAAAACACTTTTGTAAATCATGTCATAGCCGTTTCAAAAATCGTAAATTTCTCAGAATCCTTATATACAGTTCAAAAAACTTCTAACCACCCACCAATGCGAGTGGCGACCCACAATATTGGAGAAGCTCTGATCTCAGTGCCGGATTTAACCATTGTGTCGCTTTATTGTGCACTAAATAATTTGCCGCCATTTAATATAAATATTTTTCTAGTCTAAAAAATGTTATTAAAGCATACAATTATAGTTTTTTATTTTTTACTTAAAATTTTAACGATGAAAAATAAAAACATACAACTCTACGGTCATGAAATTGGAAAACATAAAATATAAATATTACCACAATCCCGTTGGTCTAAAAACATTTTATAATTAGTTTCATTTTGTTTTAGTTCTACTTGCATATGGTAAAAATGTAATGTTAAAAATTATTTGCCGCCCTAAGCACTATAGCTTATAGTGTTTACCGGGAAATACGGCACTGGCTTATCTATAGATAGGTATTAGGTATAATCTGGTATATATTATATATTATACGACCGCTGGCGCCCCGACGACTGGAGTGTAAAATTACAATTTTGATTTGTTCCGGTGACCGTCCCGAGTCCAAACCGGTATTCACGCGGACAACGACTATTATAGGTCGGTTTTTAATTTTTACGTGTAGGTCAACTAGGTGCTTATCCACGTGTGTGTGTACAATGCCGTGTCCGGTTATTATTTTTTCATTCCCCACATTCGCGAATGAATACGTTCAAAACCGCTTCAGGAGTACCTGTATCGTGTGTGTCGTGTTCTGGAGCTCGCGATTTCGTCTGCGAGCGTCAAATAAGCGAGGCTGGACATTAACGAGTTAAAAATTAAAATTAAGTCGAAACGTTAAGAGGACGCCACACCCGCGTGCGTTGTCTCCGTCTTACAAACGAGTAACATACCAAATTTACGCTCATCAGTTCAGGTTTCATGCCGTTAGCTTAGAAATTGGAGTGAATTAACCTATTATGAAACTCGACGGTGAGAACCTTATTATCTGGGTTTTGTTGGAAGTTTTTTACGATACTTCAGTTTTTAAGCGAGGTGTGCTTGTATAATAAATGGAAATTAAAAATGCTCATACCTCGCTTAAAAAACTGAAGTATCGTAAAAAAACTTCCAACAAAACCCAGATAAAGTTCTCACCGTCAAGTTTCATAATAGGTTAATTCGCTCTAATTTCTAAGCTAACGGCATAAAACTTGAACTGCTGATCGTAAATTTGCTATGTTACTCGTTTGTAAGACGGAGACAACGCATGCGGGTGTGGCGTCCTCTTATGTTGACTAACTCGTTACTTTTTTTTTGAAACTAACTTTTAACTTGATGAGTTAAATTTTTAACATATTTAACGTGTTAAGTTACAATATTTTAAATTTGATGTGACCCATTGATTTATAAATTTGTCGGTTTAAGAAATATTGGATAATAATATATATCATATAAAATAAATAGGATAATCCGAAAACGTATAATTAATCAATAATAATTATTACTGGTCGTTTGACGTGTACACAATATACATAGAGACGTATAGCCCGGTATTTCCAATTTTGTAGATAGCCTGTGAAATACACGCGATTCGTGTGTTGCCCCGACGTCTGTGCACTTATATAAATAAATTATTTTATTTAAATTTATTTAAATTAAATTATTATATATTTATAACTTATTATAGTCATTGCCTAGTGACACTTTACGAATACGCCACACATCCCGAGAAATACGTTATTACTCGAAATTATTAAAATAACTCACGGGGAAAAGTCTATTTCTGAACATCTTGGTTTACTCTGATTGGAAATATTTATACTAATTATTATACTCCACGATACTTATAATTTGAATTATGGTATTGTCATAAAAAAAAAAACAACAATCATTTGGTACCATAATCACCCAGGTACCCTCATATTGTGTAAATAAAATTATTTTACTTATTCAAACATAATATTATAATATGTTAATGTTAATGTATCTCATATTATACTCTTGTATCTTATTATGCTGAATGTGTTTATACTTTATATGGATTTCCCAAATATTGACGTGTAGCAGCTTATAGTAGAACTTTTATAATTCGTGTATTTATACCATTTTAACGCCCCTCCCCTTCTCTTTGATGAGTAAGACACTGGGAAAGAGTTGGATGGATTGTCAACTGCCCACCCTAAATCCTTGGTAAGTACTGCTAAGCTGCTAAGCCTACTACATGGTTGATAGAAAGAAATCTGAGCTTGACATGGATTCCAAATTAAGTAACCTATTTTTCTTACAGATTCGAAAATAATTACATTTTTATTTAAGTTAATTTTAACTCAGTTAAATTTTTTAATCCATTAATTTCTTAATCAACGAAGTTATATAAAAAACATTAGTTAACTCTTAACTTAACTTCACTTACTTTTTCTTATATTGACTTAACTTGACGAGTTAAAAAAAAATCGTTAACTTGCACAGCCTTGCAAATAAGCATACACGATTTTAATAATTCGTTTGATTATTTTTTTTTTTTAAACTGTCAATAACGTACATCATACAAACAAACACGGTCGTACGAGATCGGTTGAATTTTTCGATTTTTTACGAATGACGCTCACACGAATTCTTACGAAATAATATGTACACTGCTCACACAAACTGTCTATATACGCGACAATCCATCGTGACGGCTGATAATGCATTATGTTATAAATTAAGATTAAACGTTTGGAGTTTTTGAACGACATAATATAGTTCTGAATTCAATGTCTGTTAGACCTACCTAACCCACCAGCTAGGATTTTGCCGCTTTCATACGATACGACTTTTTTTTTCTCATCTCATCATTTTGGAACTCGTGTCTTCCACCGGTGATTTCGCTTGTATATTATTATGATGTCCTGACGTCCCGTGTACGTAATATGACCGTAGGCGCAATGTAATGTCGAATAAACGTAAAATAGAAATTTGGAAAATGTTTGGGGGGCTCGGCCCCAATGCCCCTCCCGCTGTTTGCGTCCACGAACATGGCATTGTGATACTTATACCCATATATGTACCTACATGTAGTGAGAGTCTCAGAGGAATGATTTCTTTGAATATCCATTTAAAATTATAATTTGCATTTTATAATATAGTTTAAATATAGTCAATAGCTATATTATGTAACACAGATAAAGTCAGTACATGTAGTGCCTACATTTTTAATTACGTAACGATGTAATATATAGGTTATAAGCAATATTGTATAATATACTTACATGAAAAATGATTTTTAATTAGATATTGTTTGATTATTCGCAATAGTCTTATTCGTTGCGCGATATCCTCGGTTTGACGAACTTATCTAGAATACCGTTTCAAGTGGTTACCGAATACTTCTTAAATATTCAATACATCACACTATATAGGTAGGTATGCCGGTACTGCGCGTATACTACAACTGATTACCAATACGCAGTGCTCGAATTGGAAAAATAAAAGAAAGGAGAGACATCTATATTCGAAAAAATTTTAATGATTTAACTCGACTCGCGGGAGGCTTTTTCGGATACCGTAAAAACATCGTTACATTTGATTTGATCTTATCGTTGATTTTATAATACCACACAAAAGTGGATGATAAAATCAATGATTTTATTGACTATAGGTTAGTACAGCTTTACGAAATAATAGTATTACAATATATTACAATATTATTTGATAAAACGTTCCGTCTCCCCGTCCTGATGAAAATAATTAAAAGGGGTGCTCTCAAAATATATAAAAAAAAAAATGATCCCCCCTCAATTCGAGCACTGCCTGTAGGTGCATATATAGTACATATCTACTACATATATTATAAATAGTGTCTGAAGTCTGAAATATTTCACGAAGACGTGAAACATTGAAGACATTAATGCGTTGAGTATTAATAGAGGTCGACATCTTACGGTCTTTTTTTCGATCGTTTGTAGCGAAACTTTGTTTTTTTCAAAGGAATCGATTCATCTCCGAAGACGATGCAATAATGTTACAATTTATATGTAACTAAATACAAGCTAATATAATTATATAAATATAACCATTATTACGAGTCTGTTTGTACGCTGTAATTGACGGTCGATGTTTTCTTTTCTTAATTTAAATTTTAAAAACATGGTTTGTCTTCATTTATCGTCAAATTATTTCTTTTATGGTGTATAGTGTATACAAATTTAGTATTTATCGAAATATAAAATAATGATCTGTGTTCAGACGTTTATCGAGTACAGAATAATGGGTAAACACGAGGGGAAAATGCACAGTGCTTCGAGAATTTAATGAAAAAAAAAACATACTAAACTTATTGCACGAAAGAAAAATAAATAACTTATGACAAATGGATGTAAAAATACACGAAAACAAATTTTATTAAAATATTGAAATATTTCACGATATTTTTAAACACTAATTTTATATTGTGATGACTCAGTAAATACATTTGAAATGAGTCTGTAGTAAAAATTCCCCTGAAAATATATGTAAGTACCAACGTAGGTATTCAAAGGTTATGCGTAACGTGAATATTGCATAAATAATTCAATTATTATTTTTTACTGTTTTATCCCGTATAAAGTAAGGTATAGTTACAATAATAGAAACCTACTAAAATATCGACATTTTCGTACAGCCACTTGAAATCTTAACATTACACAATGTTTACCATTATAGATACCATTATAGGTACCTACCTAAGCGAATCTCTAAAAACTCTACTGTTAATGCTCAAATTTATTTTTACCTTCGGCATGATAAGTACGTCCTAAAGTAGATACAGGTGGGCACTCCTATTCAGAATTGTGTTTAAATATGTATTACAATAATCAACATCGACGGTTGTTCAGTTTTAAATATATTCGTCGATATAAAATAATATTGTAAACATATAAAATGAGAGTTACAAAAAATGTTGGAAAACATTAGTACTTACAAGGCACTCATCATGATCGGCTGATTGGTTTCAAGTTGTACTTAACTACTGCACATGGCACATCTATCCGAATTTTTACGCAATAAAAATTTTCAACACAATATTTATAAATTTACAATACAAAAGGATGATTAAATTTGTGTACGTTTTAGATTCCGCGAGTGGAGCGGTGCAGAATGTTGTGATATTTAGTATCTTACAATGATGTGTATTTTTTCCAGCCTGTCTTCAACCTCTTGGGACCAGTACAAATGCTTCGATTTCCTACTCCGGCATATTTTCTGCCGGGAAATTAAATCTGCTTATAGTTTGGGGGGAGGGGACAGATTAGTTTTTGAAATTTAACGTTTTGAGCATGATACAAAATTTGTATTACAAATTCGTCATTGTTAAAATAATTGATTTTTTGGCTTTTTGTCTCCACACTCGTCTACATAATATAATAACTATTAATCACTTCAATAAGTAGGTACCAAAAATACTAAAAATCAAAATATTCAATAACTAAACCATGTAAATGATTAAAATGTATTACAATTTTAATAGTTGTTACGTCTAAATATGAATTCTATACATTCAGATTATGGACTGTAATTTTATTATTAGTTGATTTTCAGCTACCCACCAGGGATTCGATTGAATTTTAGGGTGTGCATAAATCTTTCTTTACAAAATAAGAAGTGGAGACTTTGAAAAATGTTAAACAATTTTCGGGGCAGTTCGATGTTTTTGGGAGGCTAAGCTCTCCTCCCGATAACCGTCCACGTTACCCACTCACCTACCACCGACACTAACAATTTTTTTTTTAATTTACCCATATTATCGATAAATTGCAAATACCTAACTATTAAATTTACTGATCGCCTCCTCATATATGTATTTGACCGGCTGATTCTTTAAAACTCTTATAATATTTTATCGACATTATAATATCACCTATAGGTACGCGATTTAACCACACCGATATTACTATATCAATCATCATAAACACTGTTTATTAAAACAGGCATTATAGAACACAGAGCCACGAGTGCATCGATTAAAAATGTGTATAATATTATAATGTATATAATAGGCGTCTGAAGTTTCGTCCGATGAGAATGACTCGACTTCTGGGAAGCGATAAATGTTTTTCGTCTGATTTTTTTTTTTTTTTTAAACGGCGTATCGAACGTCAACACAACGATTTATAAATCATAACGAATTACAATCACAATTATATTATAAGTACCCACAAGTAGATTATAATATTGTGCACGGCTACCGCGCAGCCATACTCAGATAAAACACAATAAGCCTACGTACACATAATTTTGTGCGATTATACTATTAAGATCATTACGCGGCTTATTATAAACGTGCAATATTGTGGCGTATTATTGTACGTATTAAACGCGAACATTTCGTGATGTGGCGTAAACGCAGTTGGGCACCTACCTGTTGTAGCTACTCATAAGTACATAATATTATATGTGCCTAACGTCTTAACCCGGGCACGCAGTTATTGATTTCGAGCTCGTACGATTTATCTCGGTCTGGCAATATTATTATTTATTCGTTTTTGGTCCTCATCAGTCGTCGCGCCACGTTTCGATTCGAGTGCCTACACCTACTTGTAATAATACTGCACTGTTATTGACACATTCGATACCCGTCTGCGCTGAATACCGCCTATACCCGCAATCGTCCGACGTGAGTAAACCACGATGATGACCGTACACTGTTCGCCGACACCGTCTTATTCTAGCAAATGTCATCGTAGTGTTTAAACTCGGTCTAATCGATTTGAAAATCGCTCATCGCAAGACGTCGGTCGGACGTCTTCGAGAGACGATACACACGTGCGCGCGTTATTTTTACGACGAAATACGACAACAGTTCGATCATCGGTCGTCTCGCCATCGCACATTTCGGCGATATCGACTGCAGTGGACGCTGGAATGTAGTGCAGTGGTCGGGACGTTTTTTCACAGGTATATACTGTTGATTATTATTTATTTCTATAAAATAAATAAATAAACGACGGACGAAATTTAATTTTATATAATATTATTTTAATACCCGACGACTGTTGCACGGCTGTCGTCGTCGTCCTATGCGCACAGCGTAATACGCGTGTTGTGTATTGTTTTCGATTTGAAAGTCGCGAAGATATTACGAGCCATCCGTCGTATTCGAAAAACGATTTCGCGGTCGCCTCAGTTTTCGTTTTTCGTGTTTTTAGTGTCCTGCCGTTAAAATCATGCATTGGCTTCGAATCGTCTTCGCGGTTACCTATAGCTAAATGCACGAGTTTCGCATATACTAGTATCAGCGTTTTTACAATCTTCGCGTGTCACATCATCTGCAGTCTTTTTTCGAAAAGTCGAGATGATCATAAATCGCTGGTACAGTACTTGTGTAGAACACTCGTGTCGATTAAAATAATTAATGTCGGCTAGGTTTATCTGCAAGTGTAAAAAGTTGGAAATGTCCGTTGGATATCAAAATATAACGATTGATTTAATTTCTTGATTAACTACGCGGCTTGTGGATTGTTTCAATGTTGAATATTACAATATTTTAGCTGCGCGGTAGGTACCTGTACCCGAATGACGTCGTAGGTACCCATATATTGATTTATGTTTTATTAAAATTTATTTTTCATCGGTCACTTGCAGGTTTATAATAACCTCTGCGGGCTTTGCTAATTATAATTCGGTAAGTATATTGCGGTATAGGTACCCGTGAGTGGTTACGATTTTGAACATACCGCACGTATTGGTATACAGCTTCTACATTATACATTACGTATTCTGTGCATTTGAATTTAGTTTGACGGTTTTCAATCGGCTGGTTCGCCTTGTCCTTGTTCCATAAAATCGAATACCAAACCCCGTCCGTGACCATCTTCGTTTAGGATATTTCGCACGACGTTTACATAATATCGTATAATAATTAATATTATTTCGTGCGGACGTTGTGTCGCGAGCGCTGAGCGCAGTACAACAATTAGGTGCCTACCTGTACACTTACATCGGTTCGATTATTGAACGATTATCATTACAAGCCTTATTGTTTTCGTTTGCATCAGTTTTAGACGGACGCCAATAATTATTGACTTCCACATCGACATTTCATATACCCGCAACTCAAGATGGCAGACGTCGAGGTGAGGTCAAACATTTTGACTTTGGCGTCGTTCTGGATCTTGGGCCTCTGCAATAACTTTGGATACGTTGTGATGTTGAGTAGTGCTCACGACATTTTAAAATCCAATGCCGCTACGTCGGGAGGCAACGAAGTAAGTATACAAAGACATCAAGTACCTATAAATTATAATATTACATCGAAAGTGTAATACAAATATTTCAGGCATTAATAATTGATTAGCAGCGCGTCTTCTTTGAGGTGTTATCTTGGTTTGTTCTGAGAAATAAGACGAGATAAATAAATAAAAATATTATATTTCTAAATCTATAACACATAGACATCGGATGATTATATAATAGTTGTAGCGAAACTTTAAACTCGAGTTAAGTTTCAACCTCAGTTGTAGTGACACAAAAGATTAATTGTTTACATATAGGTAATTACTAGTATTACTACCTAATATTATCTCTATGGTATTAGAGAAAAAATTTAAGTAGGTTAAAAATATAAATTAATACAAATTTTCAAGGTTTCATCAAACTCAATATTCTTCAAAGCTATTTTCCGTACTATTAACTGGTTTGCCTAATTATGTTCCAGGCTACAGGTATTGTTATTTTATAATTATTATTCTACACCTATTGCTGAAATCATTTTTTGAAACATTATATTATGACGATTTTGTCCCTTGTGATATCTTGCGTACCTAAATATTACTTAGGTAATTACAGTAATATTAATAAATAGTGCCATGAATGCTGCCTATACCTACCTAATTATTGTGTACGAATTTTCGAATTTTGTTTGAATTGTTATGAAATCCAACGAATGTCGGATTTGCATTTATATAACAATACCTGTATAAATGTATAATATTCGTTTGCTGTAGTGTTTATAAATAATCTTGTAGATGGTATTTTCGCGTTATAAACATAATATTTTGACTGTCAAGTTATTTAGGTAGGGATTAAATGTTTTTCCTTCCAAAGAAATTGCTATGATGTTTGAGTAATTTGTAATAATGTAACTAACGCAATATAAGCAAACGAATTTAAACGGAATATTATGATATCTATAATATAGAGTAATTGGGAACTATAAATATATAGCCGAGAGAGAGAATCTGAGTCGTTCTATAAATATACAAAAACCTCTTGAAAATATTTATTTAATTCAACAAAGTTGATTACCACCTATAGCTTAAAATATGATTTTTATGACTTACCAGATTATACACCGACTATAATATAATAGGATTAATATTCACTATTATCTAGGTACATAGGTTCTATTCAAATATATTACCTATTAGATAAGTACTAAGCTACATTGCTATTAATCATTATACTGCTGAAACACATCTATACATATATATCACCGCAAGTTATAATTACCTTTAAATGTATACGTCGAATATGTCGAATTATACACATGGTTTGACAGTGATATTAAGTCAGTATCGTAATTCGGTCCTATCTGAGAGGGGGGCCGAAACAGTTGCATACTTATGTGGAACCTTGTTTAAATTTGCAATCCTTAGCCATAAAATTAAACATTTTATAAGTTTTTTACTACAAAATAATTTATACATTTTTAGTTTGATACATTTTGTCAAAATATGAACTTTAAATACTTGTAAAAAAATCTTGCCTTAATTTTTTTAAATATTTTTATACCGATTTAGGAACAATGCACGAGAAGCCTTTTATATTTTTCAAGTTTTTGACCCAACGAATACAACTTTAATGACATTTAAAGAAAAAAAACTAAAAAAATTTTAAATTTTGAAAATGTTATCAACTATAGAAAATGATAAAATAAACTGTACATTTTAAGTATCTACGGTTATTTGTTTTTAAATTACAACAAAATAAGAAAATCGCTCCATGAGAAATTGAGTGAATATTCCAAAGTTGTAAAAATGTGTACTTCAAACTCTCATACAAATTTTATTTGACTTTCCGGTAGATTTTTTGTGAGAGTAGAAAAGCTTCTGTGGAATCTTGTATTATATTTTCAAATCTTAAGTATAAAAAGTAAAATTTGTTATGTAAAACATAAATTATTATAAACATATATATTATTAATATAACTTGTTAATTTTTTAAAATTTATATTTGGTTTACATAGTATGCTTTTAGATGTGGTCAAAAATATAACTATGGAAAATAATATAATTTTTGAAAAAATATTTTAATTATTCTAGATGTAATGACATGAAACATACTATAATAATATTGATTATTGTGTAATTATTTACATTTTTTTTAAAGACAGTCAGTATTAACTCCACTCAAGATGTATTCAAAAGAGAGTGTAATCATTTGTCGACCGGCGTTATACTTTTGGCCGATATTATGCCTGGACTGATAATCAAGGTTTTTTCACCATTTTTTGCCTTACATATCAAGTGAGTATACTATCTATTTGGGCCACACTGGTTTACAAAAAAAAATTTCTATCAACACAATTTGACACAGTTAAAAAATATCGTTAACTTCTCGGGCTTAACTAATACATACTTTATATATTAAATATAATGAAAACAATTGTTTTTACAGCCGGAGATTATCGTTGTGTATTGCGCTGACAACCGCTAGTTTTATAACTGTGGCAAGAGCGAATACTGAACTAGTTGCAGCCATCGGTGTAGCACTGACATCCATGGCTTCAGGTCTAGGAGAATCAACACTTTTGTCTTACATGGTCAATTATGAACGGTATGGACATAATATAAAGTTATAAACGTTGTGCTGCCTATAAAATATAAGTACCCAGGCTAAAAAGATAGTAAAGATAATAATAATTGTAATAAAAATTGAACGCACGTTTAGGTATTGCAACCCGAGAGAAAAAAATAATTAGACTGACTGTATTTGCACAAAGTGTCTGCGAAACCACCAACATATTATTATAAATAAACACAACGATTTTTATAAATAATTATGAAAGAATGTGGATAACTCAACGAAACTCAGATACACACATAGGTATACCTATACCTTCAACTACACTGATTGTGATTGTATAAGTAATAAAAAATAGAAAAAAAAATAATGATAATAATACGCACTATAATCATAATCACTTAATTCGCACACATCTATAACACGACTTGTGTTCACTTGGCACTTAGGAAATTGCCTACCCCGAACTCCTTTAATCCGAATCTAAAAAAACGAAATACTCCCCAGCCCCTGAAATATTTTCAAACATGCAAGAAAAACTTTCATCTGCGAACTCTGTATCCAAATGAACGCCCTACATTTTTCACTCCTATGAAACTGTAATGAAGATATGTAAAAACCTAAAAATCTGGACTGTGTTATTACACTGATGAACACCTAACACGCATTAATGAATAATGAAAATAAATACATTAGTTCTAATACATAATATAATATTCCTGATCACAAAAATCGATTTTCTATTCGTGTTCAGATCAACTGACATTATTCATCGATTTTACCACCTATGATTATTAGAATATCATGAAAACTCATGACCGTCAGTGTCTAACTTGCCTAAGTATAGATTCGGTTTTATATTACATTAACATATTATCTATATTGATTTTGGTTTTCTATGCATAAGTCAATTACGCTTAGAAACGTGTTCTGTGCAAGAAAAAATTTCGACACAAACCATGTCGTTTTTTTCTCGAGAAATTTATAAAACGATCGTTGCACTTTTCGATAAAAATATATTTCAAATTGCAGAAGTGTGATCACGTCTTGGTCTTCTGGAACGGGCGCTGCTGGTATATTAGGAGCGTTGACTTATGCGGGATTGACTGGCATTTTCCATCTATCTCCGTCCACGACGATGTACTTAATGCTTTCCGTACCGTTTCTAATGGGCGTGTCGTAAGTACCTATTTGTTTAGTTTTACGCATTTTTTTCTTTTGTCAAAAATACTCACCGACAATAATAATTAATGAGTTTAGATTGAATGGTAAATGCATGAATGCACGATGCGGTTTTTAGTATCTGTTATCTGGTATTAAATAATAATCTAAATTATACAAATTTCCTATTTACCATTTTATTTTATAAATTGGAAAATGTACTTTTTTTAAGATTCTGGGTATTATTAGAGCACCCGAACAAAGATGAAATTCCAACGATGCCTAGCAGTTCTCTAGATCCCAGTGCGAACAGTCAAAGTATCTCGAATAAGATGTCGTACATACCCTCATTATTGAAATTTATGATTCCTTTAGGGTTAGTGTACTTCTTCGAGTATTTGATCAATCAGGGATTAGTAAGTTGTCTACATAATATACCTTACATTTAGTTTAAAAGTCATGTTATACCTATTAACAGAATTGAATGTTTTCAGTTCGAGTTGGTTTATTTTGAAAAAATATGGCTGACACATTCAGAGCAATACAGATGGTACCAAGTCATATATCAGTTGGGCGTTTTCATTTCTAGGACTTCGGTGAGCCTGTTTCCGATCGAAAAAATTTGGATCCTGACAATATTACAGGTATCGTTGTTTCGTACACATCATGGCCGGTAAAATAATTTAGGTTTAACGACAAAAAGAATGGGTGCATAACATATATTTTCTTTTTCAACGCACTTTTTTTGATTTTAATATTCAGTTCTTAATCAAACTATGCATATTAAATACATTTTTATAAGTATTAAATAATTTAACTTTAAAGTGCAAGCTCTATACTGTGATTATTCATTACTCATTTAGTCATTTGTCATTAATGTAAATAACGGGTAAACTTAAAATTTAATTTGGGCACATTTTAATATTTCTTATTGATTATTTTTTAATGTAATTTGAAACTTTAAAGTCATTTCTACGAACGTGTGATTGTAATTAATAAAATTGAATGCATTTTTTATTTTCAGGGTCTCAACGTCGTATACTTTTTATTCGAAACACTGTATTCTTTCACACCAAATATATACATTATATTTGGGTTGATAGCATTCGAAGGTTTATTAGGCGGAGGAGCGTATGCTAAATCGTACCATAACATCATGAAAAAAGTATGAAAATATTTTATTTCTATTGTAGCTTATGATTATGACACATAAAATATTATATTATATAATATTATACAGGATAATTGACCAAGCATACACACTCCCTTTTTAGATTCTGAGCGGAGCGATGAATATATAGATTTTATAATGATGCGTGGTTTTTCATTTTTATTTTTTTTGTGTTAGTACACGTTAAGTAGTTTAAATAATGCTTCGATTCTCAACTTCAGTATCTTTTCTGGTGGGAATATCATTGTATTTGATTAATTTGGGAGGTGAAATAGAAAAAACGAGATTTTGTTTTTTTGGCGTAATTCAAAAACGAATAATTGTAGATACTCGAAATTTTCACCAAATATTTGTATTGAATTTCTTATACACGATAACATTTTAAAAATATTTTAACACTTTTTGAGCTATTTATAGGCACATAAGACATTTTCGGTTTTTATTAGTTTTTTAAAAGTATTGACGATGGTAAATTTGTCACTAGATAAAAAACTTGAGAATTTAATAAAAGCTTGAATGAGTATTTTCTAAATTAAACATTAAGTACTAAGAATAATATACATAGTCTATTAGTCTATGATATATATAATATGTAGGTATGAGGGCTATGATGATATTAAAACTAAATAAGTAATCAACATGGTTACAAATTCATTAAAATTTTATAATTTGTAAAAATTGTTCGAGTATAACAGATACTATACTGAATATGAAATTTATTTTTTATTTTAAATGAAACCATTATAAAAGACTTTTATAATATAAAGTTTTATAACTCAGAAGCTACTCATTATTACACTAATCAAATTATCAAAATGTGTAGAAAAATCATCCTATTACCAATTTATAATAAAAAAGGGTGGTTCTCGTTTGAAAAAGTTTGTATCACCAGAAGAGATTTTAAATGGTATAAAAAATGTAAGTATTTTTAAAAAATCTTTAAAGAGTCTTTTAAGTGCACTTAAAAATTGAAAATATTAGAACTTAAATAAATGCATTGTTAAAGGGTCAAATGAGTGAGCATGCTTGATGAATCATTCCTCTGTATATATATATACATAAAACATACGAAAATGATAACTCTGTCTTATTGTTGTTCGCAGGTTCCGAAGGAGCGCCAGGAATTTTCAATGGCCATGACGTCACTTGCTGACGCGATCGGTATTTCATTATCTGGACTATTGGCCATTCCATTACACAATCAAATTTGTAAAATACCGAAATGAGGCTGTCAGAGGTATTTGACACTGTATCTACAAAAAAAAAGAAGTGTTTTTTGTACTAGAAGAACTAATTTAAAAATATTAAGTAACTACTTATGTTAATTTTCGACAAAAATTATGTTAATGTTACTCACTATGACATAACATCGTTTGATTCCTCACTAAGATTATTGGTTTGAATATTGTCTGTAAGCAAACACGTAGGTATATTACCTATAATAATATTGCGTGAACGAATAACATAGGAAATGTGTACCTAAGTATACACCTATGAGAATGTCTCAAGCATAGTTTATAATAAAATATATTGTAAAAGTTTTATAAAAATGGAAACGTTTTGATAAGAATAAATTATCATATTTGGTAACCAAATGTTTTTTTTCAACTCACAAACTGGCATGTTCACTTTTGCTCTGTACATAACGTTGGTTCCTCGGCTAACCACGATGTCTATTGCTCGGTCGTCGGAACCGCCGTACGTGCAACAAGTAACAAACGTCTCGCAATAGACTTCCGTTCCCGGAACAATTATCGGCACCTATTGTGAATATTCAATAGATAATTTATAGGTGATGGTGTAGCATTGAAGTTGGCCCTGTCTTGCAAATAAAGTAGTCGAATAAAATCGCAGAACCAACTTCACGAATATCGATAACGTATAATTATTAAACCAAGCCCGGATTTAAGGGATTTATTTGTTTAAATATGAAGTCATTTAAGGGCCCCTGGACCAAAAGGAAAAGTTAAATAGAGGCGCTGTGCCCCTAACCAATCGTCATAGAAATCTGTCCGATGTTCATAAAAAAATTGAACATTGTCATTGTATATTTATACCCTACCGACACATGACTTTATTATGACTCAACGTTAATAAACAATATTACCATAATTTAGTTTGGAGCAAAACACTAAAAATATAACCCAAAATAAAAATTGAAATTCTTTACAAATTATACATGCAATATAGGTATTATAACTATGCATATAAACATAGAATACATAACAATGTCTTCATGTCACAAGACAGTGCACGGTATGGGACAAATTTTAATTTACAATATTCCATTATAATGAGAAGCGAACTATTTATAATAATAATACATTATGAGGCAGGAACACTATAATTCGTCTATTTATCTATTCATCATTTTTATCAATTCTAAAACTTCTATGATATTATGTACTTACATCATATAATTATTAAAAATTCGATGATTTATAGGTTTATATGGGTTTATTTTCTCAAACGATGCCTTAAGGGGATTCGATACCGTCATTTTCTGGTTTTGTCTAACACACGCGTGACATGGTACTTAGACGTGCTTTTTGCCAAACACACTAATTGATCTAATGAAGCGATAATAAATCTGAAAACAGATTTGAATTTTTCGTTAAGTCTACTTAAAATCGACTTTCCCACATTTTTGATCTTATCCCCCAAATTCCTAAAAATGTCATATTAAAAAAGAGCATTTAAACATTTTTGTATTTCAATTTTCGGAGAAGTTAAAATCAAAAAATCTTAAATGTGGGAAAGTCGATTTCAAGTAGACTTGATGACAAATTCAAATCTGTTTTTAGAATTCTTATCGCTTCATTAGATCAATTGGTATATTTGGCAAAAAATACGTCTAAATTACTATGTCACGCGTGTGTAAGACAAAAACAGAAAATGACGGTATCGAATCCCCTTAATATTATTATGGAATTTCCAGTATTACTTTTAAATACTTAATATAATCTAGTCTATCTAACCTACTCTATCTGCCTCATACTGTATATAATATAATATTAGGTTTCAGTCGGTTTTAATTTGAACAATAATAATGATATAACAAAAGTTACTTATGGCTCTATAAAAAAAAATATGAACAATATATCATCGATATGACTTTAGACTGAAATTTAGAAAATTAAGATTGAATCCCCTTAATCCGGACTTGAGCGACACAAGAAACTATAATATTGTACTTAAATTTTAAAAGACGTCTAACCCGTATGTGTTGTCTTTGTCTTACTAACGCATAAAATATGAGTAATGACACATACTAAAATGTATACAGTCAGGTGTTTCAATTTTGTTTGGTTAGTTTCGATGAACTGATCTATTTGAAATAATCTATTCTAATAATAATTTCAAGAAACATCTTAGAGTTAATAATAATACAATACAAATAAGACTTTATCCAAATTTTTTATATCTGTACTTTAAACTGGAAAAAATTCTTTATAGTTGATCATTATTTCTATATTGTCTATATTTCTACCATCGTAAATGTAAACGTATATAGTGTGTAGAATTCTAAGAAAAAACTTTCTACCTTCAACTCAAGCCTTGCTTATAGAAGGTAGGTAAACTAAATTGTTGACAGAATACTTTTTGCAATTATATATTCCATTAATAAATGGTTATTTAATAAAATAAAAATATTGACATTATTTGTGTTTTTCAGGTGGCTTTTTTCGGTATTTAAATTTTGAAATAAGCTATGAACATTTTTAAATACAAATACTTCACATACTCATAACTTGATTAAAAAATTTAAATACCCTAAAAATCCAACGAGATAAAAGACAGATTTTATTTTCATCTTTAAGTTTGATCACATAGGTCAAAAAATTCACTGTTATACTTAACATAACGTTTGAATTGCTTAAGCAAGATGGAGACAAGTCAACGCATGCCGGTAAGACGTCCTCTTAATTTTCACTCTTACCCTGCAGCCTGGCGATTCTATACTGTGATACTGGGCGTTGTATAAAAACGCAACGTGAATGCCCATCAAAGGTTCTTTACCCAAATTTTTCAAAATGAAACGAATTTTGAAACGTGGACCCAGACCTAAAAGCTAAAATATACATTTCATGCGACATGACGTATCTGTGCCGAAATATGGCTAACTATTATGTCATATTGGTATACCAGTGGCGTGTTCGCAGGGTTTGATAAAAGGGACTGGATAAACTTATCTTTATGTTCGGTAAAAACCATAATATATATATATATATATATATTATATATATATATCACATGGTTACATCCACATAATGTAAATAATGCGTAATCAACATTTTTGCAAAGTATATTTAATAGGTAATAGGTATTTACGAGGTGATTTTTAAGCTTCTCACCCTAATTTTAAATGCTTACATTTTGCATGTATTCAAATTCTAATTTTTAAAATTATTTAATACTCTTGAAGACGCCATATTTTCGAATACTTGACGTTTTTTCAGGCTGATAATGTGGCATTATAGACTTCTGTTTTTCAAATAGGAACCCGCTCCGTTTTTCACTTTTAATTATTCAGCAGATATTTATTTGAGAATTTTATCTTTACGACACACTACATTAATGTAGTCCCTTTATACTCCCCCGGCCAACACCACTGATCGCTACTATTTTAACATTTTATACTTGAGCAGACGTGTGTAGAAATTGGCTTGTAACTTTTTGTTTGATCGAATTTAACCGTTCGTTCGACACTACGATTTGCAGACGTTGCCATGTTTGCTGAGTTCGTACGTGCATTTCTATAAGAACAACAAAAAACTGTAAACATTCAAATCTCGAATATATATTTTGTTTATTATTTACCCTTACAGTGTTCTCTCTCTCGTAAAGTCTGTTCTATGAAAACATTACTTCTCTTCGGTATGTTCAAGTTACCTTGGACGTGCGCCGTCAACGTCGGGCGAACACTCAAGTCGAACGTCGCAGTTCGTTTCAACAGTTTTATTCCTACTTTTCCGTCTAATAATATTTTTGTAATCATTTAGGTCAGTAACCATTATATACCTATAGTTATAACTTATAACACGGCTATCTATCGATTAGTTGTAGTGCGCGGCTATATAATCCATATCATAATGGTGTAATTAATAATTATATAATTTATCCTCGGGACTGTGAGTTAAATCCTTGAATGCATTAAAATCATGAAATATACCCGCACAATATTATGCATTCAAAGACAGAAAGATGTGCACCGGAAATTCCAAAAATATTATGAAATTATGTATAAATTCAAAATTATTTTTATGATTATGACATTAAGGATATCTCCTACCAATAAACAAAATCTAAATCTTACCTATCATGATAAATAAATTTGATTTTCAAATATTTTATAGCTTGGTACAAACTATAAGCACAAAATCCATGGTTTTATTAACACAAATATTTTAATACAAAAACATTAAAATGCGAAAACATCTTAAATACGCAAACTCAAATGGTAATGTCTTAAGTAAAATAATATGTATTGTACGTCCACATATATTTTGAATTCAGAACGAAAATCGAAGATGTGCAAATCGTTAAATGCATATTAGTCCTGTTTATCATTAGTGGGTACTCACTGGTAGTAATCATGATCAGAGCGTTTTCTTCTTGTCCAAATCTCCCGAACGTGATGCAAGTCACTGGATCCGGCATGGTAATCTTGTGGATCACCGTCGAACCGCAATACATGAGGATTAATCCTCTGGAGTGTCCATCGGTGTTGATCACGTTGCACGACACAACTGTCATTTCGAGAGACATACTTTGCACGTACATGTTCACCATTGACATAGGATCTCCCGGTAACTTAACGTTCCACAAAGACACACACTGCAATTATAGGTAAACGGAGTTGTGGATGAAAAAAATTCGTCATAAAAAATACATGTAGGTTGGTGTACAGAGGCTAAAAGTGCTGAATAATAAATTCAATATGTTTGCCTATATTACTAAGTGTAGTTGATGAAATTTTTGATATTTAAGTAATTTATCGTCTATTAGTGATACAGAAGATTGAAATAATTTTTGCCCAAAACATTGAGTTTGAAAATGTCATCGTGTATTTAAAATATAAAATATACTTTAAACGTTTCAAGTCCTCACGAAGAATAATTTTAAATAATTACAACAAACTAACGAAAAATTGTTATTGTTTGAAGAATTTATATATATTTTTAGCTGTAAAAAATGTTCCACATTTTCGAGATTTTGACGATTTTCGTCAAAATCCTAACTTTAAACGCTTATGTATATAAATATTGATATTTTTTAATTGGTATAAAAATAATCGAATCTTGTCTTACATTTTCAAAGTTTTCGACTAACCGAAAATAGTTATATCGATATTCATAGAACAGAAAACAAAAAGAAAAGAATAGAAAAATTATTCAAGTGTCTGTAAATAGCTTATAAAAAAGACAAAATATATGTTGAAAACCTTGTATGGAAAATGGTCATACAAAAATTTAGCGAACTTTTAAAGTATCTACTTTTGTTTGTTTTTAAATTACTAAGTATAAAATTTTGTTGAAAACTTACTTTTATGACTGCCTACGTTAAAAATTAAAAACATGACCATTTT